TGACGTCGTGTTCTTACCAAGTACAAAGATAATTTATATCCCGAGCTAGAGGTAAGTATACAATATATTTATATGTATTGAATTTACACTTATTAATATTTTTTTTACTAATCAAATATGTTTTTTCCTTTGCAGACTTATTTTGATGTTATAATAGGTGGTATCGGGGCAGGCACAGCTTGTAGGAACCCCTTCGATGCGGGTATCCAAGCAGATATGCAAAGAGCTTATCGAGAGCGCAAGTATCAGATAAAAAAACATTTTGAAAGAGTTTGTGGATATCATAATGTGGAAAGGGCAAGAAGATATCTACCGACTGATTGGACAGCCGAAGCTTGGAACGATATGATTGATTTGTTGTTTTTGACCGAGGAATACAGACGCACGTCGGACAAAAATAAAGTTACTAGGTCGAAACTCCGCACACAAGTGCTCACGGATGTAGACCCTATGCTCAACGACGTCATTTAGAGGTAATAAAATACATTAGTATTATTTAAAATTGTTCGTTAACATTTGTACAAATATATTATTGTTTTTTTCACTTATTATAGGAAAAAATGGGAATCAAGCCGCAATATATTGAGGGTTGGAGACAAATGCGCTACAAAGAAGGTTCGGGTTGGTGTACAAGTCTAGCAGAAGAAGACTGGGTAAGTGATAAACGAAATAAATGTGTTGTTTAAATATATTATTATTAATTATAGTTTCTTGTTTAAGAAATATTATTAATATTTGAATGTTTAAGTTTAGTTGTTTGTTTACTTAACGTATGTGTTAATTGTTTCTTTTATTTTAGGAGAAAATTCAAAATGAATATGAGAAAATGCAAAACGAGGTTGGGGAAGGGAGGAGAAGTAAACGAGGAAGAATGTTTAGAACGTGCCCTTGGGACGAGACGTGGACATGCTCGCGGGTGGGTAGGAGACAAACCGCCAACTCCGTTTCGGTTTAATTCCAAATGAACGGCCTTCCACTTCCAAATCGTCTCAATCTCAACCCCAATCTCAATCCCAATTCGATGCACAATAAATGCAAGAATATTTGCAACAATATAATGCATCATTGGCGGCATGTATTCCAAACTTCCAACCACCACCTTTCCTAACTTTCTATTCAACTATAACACACAAGCAAGTACCTCTCAACAATTTGCCGAAAGGATGGAAGAAGAAGGAGAAGGAGAAGAAGAAGAAGGAGAAGAAGAAGAAGAAGAGAAGAAGAAGGAGGAGGAGAAGAAGAAGGAGAAGACGATTATGACAATGATGATTGATGTTTTTTTTAGTGTTATGAACAATGTTAGTTAACTACGTATTGTAATATTAAACTTGAATTTGATGTTTTGAATTTGAACAATGGTACCTAGTTAATGTATTTCAATTGATATATGCTGCAATGTTTTTTGGATTTGTTAAAAATGCAGGAATGGTAATGTACAAAACCTGTAAAGCTAAAAAAACCAACCAGTAGCTATCCCAATGACAAGTCGTCGCTATAGGTCCATAACCGACAACTGTTAAAAACCCTGTCGTCTCCATAGGGTCCGATTGTTGTAGTGGACGAGCAGCTCCTATGATGACAATTCAAGCCTAAGTGTGAGCGATTGTAAGGTGAGGTGCTGGAATGATTGCAGCTGTCTTGGGTTTACCACAAGTAGCAATGGAACTGGTTGTATTACATGGACTGGAACTAAATCAGTCGATAACTTTTCAATCAGCCCAACAGGGAGTGCTGTATTAAAGTATGTTTTAATTTCTCCAATTCCGATAATTTCTCCAAATCCAAGTAAAGGTAAACAGTTGTTATTGATTTAATGGTTTCTAGGTTACTTGTTAATTGCTATGTATTTTCATAGCTTTAAACCAACATATTGTCTAAACTCTTGAGTAACGTGAATATAGTCTATAGTTTGATTATTAATATATAGCTTAAATTAATTATACACCAGGAAATGCTAAAAACTGGATCTGGGCACCCATTGTTGCTTCCATTATATTACTTCTTTTTTTTGCTGGTCTACTTTGGTATCTAAAGAAGAATAAGCTTAGACGAGAAGGTATGACACTTTACACGTTCTTTTGGTATGCTTGAGCTGTTTAAAACAATTTCACTTTCTAAGCCATGATTTTTTATTGAAGAAGAAAAGAGACAAAAGAGAGACGACGAATATTTCTTGGAGCTAATAGCTTCTGACAGCTTCAAGGATGCAAGTAATCTTGAAAGTAATGGCAGAAAAGGAAGCGACTTGATGGTGTTCAGCTTTGCTGCCATAGTGACAGCCGCAAATGACTTCACAAGTGAAAATAAGCTCGGAGAGGATGGTTTTGGACCTGTTTATAAGGTACTTTTATCTTTTATCTTTATTGTGTTTTCAGAAAATGCTAATATTTTTTTTCTCTTCCATCTTACTAAACAAGATCTTATGTGTTTATGAGAAAAGGGGAAACTTAGTGATGAACAGGAAATTGCAATTAAAAGGCTTTCAATAACATCGGGACAAGGGCTTGTTGAATTCAAAAATGAACTCATTCTTATTGCCAAACTTCAACATACAAATCTTGTTTGGGTTCTAGGCTGTTGTATTCGTGGAGAAGAAAAAATGTTGATTTATGAGTACACGCCGAACAAGAGCTTGGATTTCTTTTTCTTTGGTAAGATAAAAAATAAAAAAGTATAAAATAGATTTATTTGATGATTTTAGCTTCAATAGAACTATGATTTAAATGACTTGTTAAAACACTTGCATAGATGAAACAAGAAAGACACTACTAGACTGGCTGAAACGATGGAACATCATTGAAGGGATTGCTCAAGGGTTGCTTTACTTACATAAATATTCAAGAATGCGAGTTATTCACAGGGATTTGAAAGCAAGTAATGTTTTGTTGGATGAAAGCATGAATCATAAGATTTTTGATTTTGGTATGGCGAGAATCTTCAAACAAAATGAGACCGAAGCAATTACCAATAGGGTGGTTGGAACATAGTAAGAATGCTCTTTCTCTTTTACTTCTCTATGTTGGATATTTGTCAAATAGTCCTGTTTAGCTTACATGAGTTACATCATCGGGTTGGAACATAATCACTTTTAAGTTTCAGTAATATATGTAAGAGGTACTGTAACGCCCGTAGATCAGGGCTAGTCAATTTAGAGACAATGAGCGTCAAAAATGACTTTTTGATGGAAGATTATTTTGAAGGAATAATCTTAACTAAGTTGTAGTATATGTTACAAGGATTATGTACATATAAAGAACGCCGAAATCCGAGTTATAACGAAGAAGTTATGACATGTCGAAGTTTCGCGACAGAACCGGCACGACACACAGCACCACACGCGCATAGTGAATTTACGATAGAGCAAGATTTGGCCTTAGCGATCTAATCGAAAGTCGTAGAATACGTTAAACCGAGAACGTGCATAAAAAGAATGTCCAAATCTGACTTCGTATGAGGAAGTTATGATTTTTCTAAGTTTCGACTTAGCGGTATGCAGCCCGAATACTCGATTTGAGATCGAGCGGTTTTTAGCCGAAACAATCTAAACAAGAATCAAAGATCTTGTTGATAGTAGTGCAACGGTAAAAAGACAGACGAAAACGGACGTCGGATGAAGAAGTTATGAATTTATAACGGAGTTTTCCTCTCCCGGCCTACTAAAAATAAATAATAAAAATAAATCAAAATTAGCCGATGGAGTCTAAATGAAATTTGTAGAACGTAGTCTCACCAACGCGTGGATATAAAGAACGTCGAAAACGGAGTTCGTATGAGGAAGATATGAATTTTTGAAGTTTATTAAATAATTAAAGTTTAAATTTAATTATAAATTCCGATATTATCCAAAAGGCGGGGAGTCACCGGCCTTATCCACATTACGCCCAGCGTAACTTTAATTACGCCAAGCGTAATTCGGGGTTTCAGCCCCTATAAATAGATGTCGAGTGCAGCCGAGTTCTATTGCTCATTTCTTTCCTTCTCTCGGTTTTTGCCCTCGTTTTTCGTGCAAGAAATATCCCGAAGCCCCGGTATTAATCCCGAGCCCCGAAGCAAGTCCCAAAGCCCCGAAGATCCCGAGGAGTAAAATTCCCGAGCCGAAGCTCTGCCCGCATGAAGCCCGGTTTTGGAGGAAACATCCCGATTTCGTCGGAAAAGATTATTTTAAACGTCGTAGCGCTGTCCGATCATCTTCTAATCAAGTGAGTGTATAGTCACTTTCTTCTAACACATAAGTACGAAGTATTTGCTATGAAACACGTGCTATGTGTTTATATAGTTTTGTTTATTTGAGATGTTGGTGGAATGGATGAACTATATAGGTTTTAATGAGTTAAACTGTATATGTATTTTGTAACTACAAATATGTTGGGTAGGACATGGGTAGATGAGATCCGTGAGTACGGATCAGATCAAGAGGTTAGTTAGATCCATGAGTAGGGATCAGATCAAGAGGCTAGTTTTAGATCCGTGAGTATGGATTAGACCAAGAGGTTAGTTTTAGATCCGGGAGTATGGATCAGGTAAAGAGATAAAACTTGTTATTAGTCCGGGAGTATGGATTAAGACTAAGTTAATTGTCCCTAGTCCGGGAGTATGGATTGGGCACAGTTATTGATCCGGGAGTATGGATCAGATCAGGATTAAGGTATAATTAATTGTCCCTATTCCGGGAGTATGGATTGGGTACAATTATTGATCCGGGAGTATGGATCAGATCAGGAGGTTAGTTTTAGATCTGTGAGTATGGATCAGGCAGTTTTAGATCTGTGAATATGGATCAGGTAGTTTTAGATCCGCGAGTATGGATCAGGGGAAAAGGTTAGTTTTAGATCCGTGAGTATGGATCAGGTGAAAAGGTTAGTTTTAGATCTGTGAGTATGGATCGGGTGAAGAGGATAGTTTTAGATCCGTGAGTAGGGATCAGGTAAAGAGGAAAATTTTAGATACGAGAGTTTAGATCGTGTCATTGTGAGGATCGATGGGGTGGGTAAAAGTTGCTTGTATATAGTGAAATTTATATGTTTGTGAGTTCTAATATATATATATATATATATATATATACTATATAATATATAATCTATATATTATATATATACTATATATGATATAACATTGTTGGTTGAAAACCCTATATGCTCACCAGGCTCTCAAGCCTAACCCACTCAGTTTTCTTTGTATTCCAGGTAATGGCACAAGAGTATAAGTTGGAGGACTTGATGAGAGATTTTGGATAATAGACTAGTAGTTGTAAATAACTGCTGTAAGGTCAAATTGTTCTGTTTATGCTTTTGGTCTGTATTGAACATGACATCCCGAGATTTTGTTATATAATGAAAATACGTTTCTTTAAAGAAATGCTTTGATAAATTCTTATCATATTTTTTTTGGGAACAAATTCCGCAACTGTTTTCTTTAAAACATTACTCTTATTTTAAAAAACAAAGCATAAACAAATCGGTCTTTTCTGGCCGTGAAATTGGGGATGTCACAGTTGGTATCAGAGCATTAGTTTAAGCGAACTAGGAATTTGTAGGAAATTTCTAGACTTAAACTTAGAATGCTAAGTAATGATCGTGAGGAGTGTGTCTAAAATATGTTAGGTAGTACACCTAAATTGACACAAGCACTAGTTTATTTTAGGAATGATGCCTAAAATGTTTTTATGTGCTAAATGTTTTGTGTGATAGCTATATCGATGCTATTATTTGTTCGGATCCATGGTCTGTTGCCGACCGGATCTGGAAACCTTATGTGTGTAGGATTCTAAGCGTATGATTACGATATAAGAACTAGCATGTAAACGTTTCGGAGTGATAAGGATGATTTAAATATCTACCGTGAATGAGGATCTAAATTCACCTTATTCGGTGTATAGATCAAAAATGGCAAGAACCAGAAGTGGAGCTGGAAATGCAAATGAAAACAGGAATCAACCACCTGTGATTGAGCGAGTGGCTGTTGTAGCAGCATCACCTGAGCGAATAACAATGGCCGGTGTACAAATGATGATTCAAACAATGTTGGATCGTCAGATGGAAGAAACAAGACGTCTACTTAGGCAGAATCGTGAAGAACTGTCAATTCAAATGGAAGAGCCCGAAGTGAATGGAGGGGATTCGGAGGGAGGTAACTTCAGTGGGACTATTGGTCAAGCCAACCCACCGTTAGTTAGACAAAACCATCAGGAGGGAGGAATTGATGGACTTGGATGCAAGTACAAAGACTTTTTGACTTGCAAACCATCGAACTTCACTGGGAAGGAGGATCCTATTGGAGTCATGGATTGGATTTCGGAAATGGAATTAGCCTTTATGACATGTGGTTGCAAGGGCAAGTTACAAACCATATTTGTAGTGCGTCAGTTTTAGAGGTGGCGCTGTTCGCTGGTGGAACACTCTAGGGAAGACCCTAAGCCGTAATGAGCCACTGCAACTGACTTGGGCAAAGTTCATGGTGCAATTCAAGCGCAAGTTCTGCTCGGCCCAAAATCTGCTAGAGTAGGAGAACAAGTTTCTGACATTGACAAAAGGCAGCATGTCAGTTGATGAATACACTAATTCCTTCACAGACAAGATGGAGTTTGCTTTGCGCATCGTCCCAGGCGATCTGACTAAAGTTGACCGGTTCGCAAAGGGACTCCCATGGGAGTATGCGGTGCCAGTGCGTCAGGCACTTACTCTGGAGGCAGCTATCTGGGCTGCCAAGTCTGTTGAAGATATGATTAAGGGAAGAACCGCCAGCAAGGTTGAAGTTGGCGAGAAAAGAAAGTTTGAAGGATCCTCAAGGTCCGATGAGAATAGAAAATTTTCGAAGTCTGGTTCGAAAAAGTTCGAAGAAGAAGCACAATGGTGTGATAAGTGAAAGAGGAAGCACATTGGGAGATGCACTAAATAAATGACCTGCTTCAAATGCGGGAAGACTGGTCATTATGCCAGCGAATGCACAAACAAAAGAGAAGCCTGCTTTAAGTGTGGTGAAGAAGGACACTTCAAACAAAACTGCCCAGGAAGGGAAGAGATTACAAAGCCAAATGTGCTGCCAAAGCCAAAGGCAAGAGCATTTCAAATGATCCTTGATGAAGCAGATGACAACGCGAGGAATCAAGGATGAGGATTTTATATCCAAAGATCAAGTTATGAAGTAGCAATGTGAATAGTAACTTATGGTGTAGCCTATTAGAGGCATAGTATAGGGTGAACTTGAACTTTTGTGTAATAGTTTCAAGGAATTAATATAAACCCTAGTTTTGTTATTTGGTGTGTTGAATGATTGTATGATTTTCTTGTATGGTGACTTCGTCGACTGCGGGACAATACTTGGGACGAGTACGAGTAGGTGTGAAAGGTAGTAGATGCATATACTACCGGAAGAACAGGACTCGCACTTGGATCAGGAAAAGTCACATGGTTACCAAGAAGCTAGTAAGTGATTCCGTTTTATTCGAGTATGTCATTACCCTTGTTTCGGTAATGACTAGTGAGATGGTTGTTATTCCGACCCTAGTGGTCATATAAATTTGAGTTCGACTGCGATGAGTTGTTACAAGGTTCAGAGAACCAAGTTCGAGGTAACATCTGACGTAAGTCAGAAGGTTGAAATTTATGCGATCGTTGGTATCGTGCTCGTTGTTAAATAGGTTCATAGCTAGAAATGCTACAAAGTTAAGATGTGATTATATCACATTAGAATATGAAGGAAGGTATATTCCATTTCGGAATTTGACTCTAAGAGACTTGGGTCTAAGCGTTGTATTATATGATGAAAGGTCATTAGAACATGACCCATCGGTCTGTTACAATAGATAAAGGAAAGTATTTATCCTAAGAAGAATAAGGAGTCCTCAATAAGGAGTTGCTTTGTCCTCGAAAGTTACGATTGAAAAATTCAACATAGTACGAAGAGCAGGTGCAGGATTGAGCATCAAGGTTATTACTTAGGATGGAGAGGTAAAACGTATGGAGTCAATATACGAGTCCTATTTCGTTGA